GTACGACTAACAACGGATCCGTCGTGATACACAAGAGAAAGGATATGTAGAGAATATCATATTTTGAGTTATCGTACCTTCAAAGTTTTATTCAAAAATGTTTCTGTTGAGACATATATCAACTTCAAACACGAATATTTTCTTTTCTGCTTATCACCTCTTCTCTTTTTTTCTCGTTTTCAGCAATTCGTCTTACATCTTTAATAATATAAATGATCATATTAATAACAGTGTGTTACATGGAGTATACCAGTTTACTGAAAAGATCAAATTGTTAAGAATACTATCAAATTTACCTTGATAGTATGTTCAGTTAGATTATTACTGATATTCTTTTTCGACAAATACATTAACACTCTGAAAGTGATTATAAATATGCTAGGTACACAGCGGAGTTCTTGATTGGTACGTATAACTCAGGATTAGGGGGACTTGCAAATTAGTCTTGCAATGGAACGGGTCAATAAGTTAATAGTAATTAAGTTTATTCTCAAATAACAATCAGTTACATGTGATATGCCAGTTTACAAGCAAAATTTAAATCTTACGAATGATAACATGTGTACTGTAAAAGATTGTTAAATTAGATGAATGCTTCACAAGATACAATGGTTTTCTATAGAATGCTGATATAGTGAATATAGCCCTGATATTACCACAGGCTTACGGTAACTTTTCCGAGGAGCGTCTTAAATTGCTATCAGTTGAATTTCACTTGTAGTGCTAAAATACACTTACCCAATCAATTCTAGACCTGGATTTAACATACATTGATTCTCGAGCACTAACTGTTCATCTCAACAAAGCCGACATAACTGTTGTATAGTACAATCTAGAGTATGAAACATTACTTACAAATTTTATGTCAAAAAAATCAGCCTTCTGAAGGAAGCCAGTGTATTTTGTGAAATATTCATCTCAAACATTAACTCTTCTCAGTGGATGTGTAAGCACTTATAACATTTAGTTATTTAGTTATTTTTACACTCCCAAATAGCACTAATTTTTCTAGTTGAATATAAATCTCTTTAGTTTTTATTTGAAATAGACAGGTTACTCTACTAACTGGGTCGATCGACACTGTTCAACTGTAAACTGGTTGATTAGAATGCACTCTACTCTCCTGGGCGCAACCTTATCAACACTTACAACTGTGTGAAATTCACATTGCCTATTATCAATTATACTGTTCTCACTTACACGCTATTGACTTACCTTGGCCCCTTAGTGTTATCTATTGCTCAGCTTTTAACCGCGATACTCTTTATATCTCCTGCTTAGCTAGTTAAGTACATCTTCCCCACTACATTCAAAATGCTTATATCTTGTTTGAAAATTCTTACTATTTCTCCATAACTGTTAACTGTATAGCATTGATGCCTAACCAATAGTTCATAAGTTGTAATAGCCAGACGAGTTTGTGAAAGGAACTTGCAGAAATAGTGTTTCTCAACAGGATGTGAGACATAGAACACCAAGTAGAACTCAATAGCTTCTTTTAAACATTTAACATGAGCCTAACAACACAAAAGGAGGGAGGGTGGAGTTACTGACCAGCAAACATTGATGGTATGGGCGATAACTTCAAACAACCCATGTTTGTGGGGCAGAACATTTTGTTTGCTTTCGGCTCTTTAGATTGATGAGACGACTAATCAGTAACACTGAGGTTGCTCTTATACGCTTGCTACTTCTGTGGTTCATGTTTCCAAAACTATGCTGAGGTCGCTATTCTGTCGAGACACCTGCAACATTCTTACTCAGGCGCTTACAGTATGACTTAGAGGTTGGCATTCAATAATAAAGAAAAAAAAAGTTAGACAGTGCGAGATTTTATTCGTCAAATATTTATTTTTACAAACTCTACTCTTTTAACTAGAATGTCGATTTCAACGTACATAAATCCAGCTTCTTACTTCGACTTCTCTTCTATACACCTGACACTGCACAACTCTCCCTTCTTTTTGCTGTACTCCTTTATCTGTGTGTTATATTCTTATATTCCTATAATTTACTTTAATTTAAGTGGTCAGTATGAATGTTATCTTGACTTACTACTGTATTGACTACTTTAACATGACAGGTTAAGTAGTGCTTTGGTTATATATATACACTTGCCACACTGCTGCCTTTTCCTCTCTCTCTTCTCCTTTTCAGAACCCCATTCAGGGTGGGAAATCGTTGGCAACTCTAGGGAACATGCACCCAATGTACATGACTGTCTGGATCACAGCTCGTATCAAGCGCGTTCCATATGACCTTTCCCAACAAATTCACTATTGATCTCGGCCAATTGCCAATAGAACCTATTGTGCACCTTCCTCATTTGTACTCTAATATTGAAAATGTGGCTGTATAATACTGTTTCTGTCAGTGATATGGTGTAAATATGCAATCAGAAACTGTCTCTTATACTTAATTTAACTGCTATAACTTTTACAGTAATTGTAAAAGCATTTGTGACAATTTGATCTAGCCTGTAAACTGGCGTGACTCTTGTAACTTAGTTATTTGAGAATAAATTATTATTATTTAGATCATGCCTGTAAACCGGCATGTCTTGTGTAATATATGGTAATCGATAATAAATTTTATTATTGTTTTTATAATTACTGTTAGATGATTTGTATAAATGCTTCCGGTAACATGGATTTTTGACAACTTTTTTCTCATTATTACGAGCAACTGACAGATTCAGACACAATCCATCGTTATCTTCACTTGCATGCAAGCTGGTGAGTCTCAACATCAAGGGTTTCGCAGTGAACCATCCTAAGTCCAATCCTCCACCTTACAGTTAATGATTATTATTCTCGCTGAGTTGTGAGATAATCAGAGGTTATCAGATGATAGCATACAAAATATTAGGCACACCGTGACAACTCATTAAAATTTGTTGCAACTTGGATTGCTCTTACAGACGAGGTAAAGACAGCCACCTCAGTGGATTGCTTCAAGTAGAGACTTGATAAACACGTACTCACCAACGGATTATCATCTCCCTCGTCGATCAGCTGTGCCTGATGCACGCCTTGAGATCTGATGGTTGTTACTTTCACCATCTCTTCAGAACATCAACCCACCCTATCTCGATTATTATCTCTGTTTCCTCTCCCTTGCTTACACTTCCTCCCTCTCGCACAATCCCCACTACCGATAAGCAAACTAAATCTTCTTCTTATTAGCAACAGACATTTCTCTCGGCCTGGTAACGTGATAGCTGCTGGTTTCCAGAAAACCTACTACCCTGAAACAAACGTAATCATTCAAATCAAAGGACATATTAACTGAAAAACAACTGCCAACTGACTGGAATTAGTGCAGTCGAGTGACTAGAGTAGCATCCATTGGACACTACCAAATACCTGGAACTGTACCAGACCGCGAAAGGAAATCAACTCTTTTTTAAAGTTTTTTGGATTGGTTATTGGACATTGGATATTGAATATCACTGGCCTTCAGCTGCTTTTATCCAGTTATAAATGTAATTATGTTATTGCATTGATTTGTAGTCTTTATGTCATTTAATCCTGCACCAACATTTAGCTATTGTTCTATTTTGATATCTTTCTATTCTCTACATATATGGAGCTCTGCCATTACACTAAGATAGAGTTTTTTATGATCTGTAGTCTATACTCTGAGGCTTATTCCTTTACAGCTTAGTGCTTCGTAGCTCTTTAATTAACCATTTATTCGAGCTTTTGTTCCAAGTATTCGTCTTGCAACTTTAGTCCTCAAACGTCAGCACTTTCTCAACACTTAATCATAGCGCATCTGTTTTAATAGATTTTGGCAAGACCCAACATCCCAGAGCTGTTAACCGTTATCTTGTGAGAAAGCTTTCCGAAATGTGGTTCTAGAGCCGCATCTGCTTGCCACTATGTATTCTGGTATGAGTGGGTGGTTGTACATAGACAACCTATCGACACGTAATAGGGACAGAAACATCTGTTGAATTTTTTCTGATTTTCCACAGGCAACATCCAGTTAGGTACATTTCTACTTTGTGTTTGTTGAAGCCTATTTTCACCACGAGGTTATTCCATCTCTCTCTGGAGCGTATGTCACCTTAGTATTATGGATTTATAATCCTTTATGGAGTCGAATCCAAGATCTGTTTTCTGCAGGCGTAATGCCATTCAACCATCGGATACAGTTATTCACAGTTTTTGTCTTCAGTTAATTCATATATTTAAAGCATCATTCAATATTATTAGTGAGCATCTTTTTTGCCTAAACCTTGTTGACCTCGCCTTCCACAGCTTACCATTAATACTTCGAAGTTACCTTACTACTGCGAATCGGTTACAATCACCGGATTACTATTCAGTTGTGTTTATGGAATTTACTGTTGTTTTACTTACAGATTTTGTCCTATTTAAGGAAATTACATGTGAATTTAGTAGTCTTTGACAGAGGTAGTACTACACTAAATTTTTTCAGCCATTCCATTTCAATAACTTCAGTCAAACATAAAAAGATACAAGGTAAGTTAAGAATACTACGATGCTTGGTAGGCGAATATGTTTGTCGATACCGTGCACCCTTGGTTTTTATAACATTGATATGAACTTTCCCTTAAATCTGCACTGGATAGTGTTTAATTCCATTTTGGTATGTATAATAATAGTTGTGATGTCTCAAAATAATGCATTTTCTCGACCATCCAAGTTTTTTTCATCCCACCTTAGAAAGGATAGTTTATGGTGTAATAACTATCCATTGATAAACGCTTCAGTTTATCTCGTATTCATCATCTACTAACATGAAACTCCTAATAGGGATTTTGGTAACTTTCAAGAATTAACATCTACCAGTCCACATAAGTCTAATTAATCTAACCAAATGAAATGACCAGTAGTATCACTGCACTCCCAATTAAATTGTATTAACTATTTACATCTTAGGTTCTAATGGCTAAATTGATTTCTAATTTATTTAAAGCAGGAGATGTATAGTAAACTATTTTTAACGTATGAATACTCTTGTGTTTTCAGATGCTAGTACACAATAAGAAAGAGCAATATTTGAAAGTTATCGAAAAACATTCAACACTTTTTGGTCTTCTTTTATATCTGATTGGGTTGATATGGTTTTGTCTTCTGTCTCAAGATGAGCTCAACCATAAAACTTACATGAGCGAAAATGCCCTGCTTATCGGTACGTCCATTGATCATATCAAAACGATTTCTTCGTAGGTCAGGTGGATGAAATCTTTGATGATGTTTCTTCCTCTATTAAGTTTTATGAAGAATCTAAGAATGCATTTGAATCCGGTGGAGTGTAAGTAACAAAAATAATGTATTAATTGATAGGAAATATTCAGTGTTGGTTTAAAACAATGGTTATTTAGACAATTCAACGCAATTGGTCTGGAAGTTTATTCACAGGACTTCAGTTTCTCTCATGATATACTTTCGCCTTTAAAGGTATAATAATGATTTTGATATAATACTACAAATTTTACCCAATTCAGTCATTAAATGGATCGAATTTATACGCTATTATGAGGTCACCAAGTGGTGGTCGAACAGAGGCACTTGTGATTATTACATCTCTAGGTGACAGTCCAGCATACTTTGGAAGTCTTGCTTATGTTTTATCGCTAAGTAAATTATTTAGAAGTAATTAAAATCTTTAAAAATTATGGGATCTAATTACTTTTTAAATTTGTAGACCAAATACACTGGGCTAAGGATATAATATTCCTGTTTCCGGAATATGAATATATTGGTTTGGTAGCATGGCTTGAAGCTTACCATGGGACAATAAATTCAGACAGCAAGTTTATTTTAGAATATTACCCTTACAGTGTTTTATTAGTAAATTAGTTTGCATTTAAATTTTACTCCTAGGTATTGATGCCCACAAGTGATAATGGAAACGATAAACCACAGTCCATCGTGGAAGAATGCACAAGTTAGGCCTAACCACCTTTGTGGGAGACATAAAGACCAAGGTTGGAATGGACAATATCGGATATGAAGGAATCACAAGACTACAGGGACTGGGATAAAGGCACAAAAATGTTGGGAAATTCGCAAATCTGTGTGCGTTCAATGAAGTAGTTTTAGGTGCCACCATATTCCTCCACAAACGTATGCATAAAGATGCGTGGGTTTTACGAGATCAGACTACAGAGAACCAAACCGGTCACATCTGCATCAATAAATGTTCAGGAAGACCATGGAAGGAATAAGAACAAAGAGATCAACATCTGGTGGTGGCCAAACAAATCTGAGACTGAAGAAAACGGGGCAAACATCACAAAGGTTTAATACCGATTTTGTTCGAGATACTAACATATTATCGATGTTTTCTCATTGATCTGAAAGTACATCTCACCAGAGTTTTTGTCGTTTGTTCACTAAGTCCATCGGTTGATATTTATGGCAAGTATTCCTTTAATAAAAACTTAGAAGTTAAATTTAGTTGGTGAATTAAAGACTTTTAGTAAAATCTTTAATGAGTGTTGCTTGTCCGCGTAACACAATGTAATCGGAAACAAACGCCTTAAATTTATTAAGGCTTTTTATAATTTATTGGGGAACCAAATTTCTAGTTTTCCGAGAAAAACTGATTTAGGGACTTTTATTTACTACATTTTACAAAATACATAGAATGACTCTACTTAGTATTCTTCCTTCTTACAGATCTTTTCTATTCAGAACTTGAGGGTAGAAGTGGCAGCATTCAAGCTGGTATAAATTTAGAATTTCCTAATTTGTACCAGCCAGTAATTGATATATTTTCTGAAGGTCCTAATGGTTTGTTAGCTAATTTGGATTTAACCAACACTGTTGTTCGACTAGCTGAAACTCATTCTGTGGTAACACGTGTTAATAGTCAGGTAAGCCATGTTGAAAGTATTTTCTTCTCACATGTATGCTCTTCAGCAAGTGGTTAGATAAATCTGGTTTTCTAGCAAAGATTCATTCATTATGAATAAAAAATTTTACAGGCAAAATACTTTCAATTTTTTAAACAATCTCTACCCGATTAGTGCACATTAGTCAGTGAGAATAACTTTTATCGAATCCAAGTAAAAGTTTCCGTCAGCATAGGCGAGATACCCGTTTGCTAACCAAAATTCGAGTCTACTACGCAGTAGTTCGCTCCGTCCTATTATATGGATGTGAAGCATGAAAACGAGTACTAGGTAAGGATAGCAAATCATTAGATGAAGTATTGAAACTTCATCAGCTGACGAATGCCCAACCACCGACTACCTCGACGAGCGATGTTTTGTGGTGTAGGAGTAGGTTGGAGGAAAGCTAGTGGCGGCCAGACCAAAACATGGCACAAATCCATGAAGTCACTGACAAGTGAACTGAGTCATGTTGGTAGATGTAGGCTGCGTGGTTGGGGTCCGTGAGATGAAAGTCACCGATAGTTAGAGACCTTGAATGACATGACTGAAAACCGTTTGCAATGGCACAGGTGCATCCACTCTGTGTTCTGTGAACTTCTATGTACTATGTGCTATATATGCCTCCATCTCCAATCTCGATGAGAAATGTCTTATGTAGGAGTTGGTCGGAAGAAAGTTAGTTGTGGTCAAAGCAATGCTTGACACCATTGCGAGAAGTCACTGAGGGCTGGACTGAGCATTGTTAATAGGTACAGACTACTTGTTTGACGTCTGAGTGATTATCGTCACCCGATGGCCGGAGGCTTTAGGTGACGTGATTGAATTGTTTGCGATGGCACAAGTGAACCTGGGTCCCGAAATCTTCATATACTGTTCTTTTCCTGTACCTAATCTTTCCCTAGTACTGCTGATAATGTTAATACTTCTACTACTCATTGATTTGTCTCGAAACAATTTTATCCTACTATTTTGTGCTAATTTGGTATGGCAACAAGAACCGATATAAATATATTTCAGGTTCTACGTTGTGTATGGATTTCTGACTAGATTCCATCATAGGAAGTCCACAACTTTGCTTTTCTGTGACCGCTTCATTTGTTGTTTATTCTTTTGTTTAGAAACTATTATTCACACCAGGCCATCAGCACTGATAAGACTCCCGAGATAAGTGAAGCATTTAACACGCTCAACTGCTTCACTCTATATCACTAACTAGTTCAGGTGTCGATACAAGCCAATCCGGAAGCTACATTTTGCATTTCGACGGGGGAAATCGCATTGCGAGCATGCTTGCATTGTTGCTTAGGGTGGTCAGAAGACTGCATTTTTTCAGCGTATTCACCAAGTAGAACTATGTCATCGGCATATCGTAAGTCAACCAATGAATCTCCTGGTAGATTGTCCACTTCTGCAAAGTCAAACGAAGATAATGTTATCTTTTAAAACCTGTCTATCACAAAGTTAAACAAGAATGGGGAGAGTGGACAGCCCTGACGGACACCACTTGAAGTAAAGAATTCCGATGACAGTTCGCCATAAGCTCTCACTCGACTTGCAGTGTTCGAGTAGAGAGCTTGTATAAGGTCAATGTGTTTCTTTGGTTCACCTTTTAATGACAGACTGCCACAGAACCTCACGATCAACAGAGTCAAATGCCGCCTTAAGGTCAAGGACGTCTTAAAATTTGTCTGTCATAGGACCTGACGTAGTGTGATTATCTGGTCTATACATCCACATCCAAGTCGAAAACCCGGTTTTCTGAGGTCTGATCTTCATGAGCACTAGTTAGGCGTCTAAGTATTATCGTAACTAACAATTTGCACACTACATTAGTTAGACTGATTCCTCTGTGATTGTCAAAAGAGGACTTTTTTCCATTCGTAAAGACCGGAACAATCAGTGATTGAGACTAGTCTGATGGAATTATGCCTGATTCCCAGATTCTACTTAAGATCTCAGTGTGGATAACAATATATATGTGTACTTATCCCAAACCTGATGAAGAGTAAATTTTTGGTGCACACTTCCACGTTCAGGTTTGAAGCCGCTAAAACTAAGTCAACTTCCTTTATTGTCGCTTTCAGGTTAATCCGCAAATTCCTGCTTTTTCTTTTGTTTTAGATTACTTAGTCTTACCAAACTTAATAATAGTTGTGGAACTTGGATCGATTTACCATTCAGGCTGGTTGTGTATATGGGGTAGCTGGAAACCGATTGAATGGTTCCCTACAGTTTATATTGAACTATCTAATTTTCTAGATTGAGAGTAAATCGTATTCTCGTCCCTTTCCCGAAATAGTCTTACTAACAACTGCTTTCTTGGTACCTGCTTATTTTATCACTCGAAAGTTACAACAGTCAAAGTTTTCCTTTCTTTCATGAAAATGTATAATTGTTATGAATCCTTTATAAAAATAAGAACTGCTGAAATTATCCAATACATTAGTCTCTAATACTTATCGTTCTAGTCTTTTTTTCTTCATCGGATTATGTATTTAGTGCCAAGGTTACTGGTTAAGTAATGCAAATCCGTTCTTAATAATTTCATCTGAACTTTAAACACAACTGATCGCTATTTACTTTTTAATGACTAAATCACTATGGGAGTTTGGTGTCCTTTTGAAATGAAAATTCCTGATAGGGAGTAAATTCTTATAGATCACCTGACAAAGTGATAATCCACTTTTATTAGTTACCTACTCTGAAAATGGATTCTTTGAGGTTTTATAGGAAAGATTCCACTTGTGAGGTTATATGTGTCGTACATAAACAAGGATACTGATCAGTAACATAAAATAACTGTTGTACTAAATCCTTAATTGACAAGGTATTAAAAGACAAATTTCATGATTTAATCATGTAGTGATAAACTAAAATGAATGTAAGCGCTCACATGCAATCTTTTTTCCATTATATTTCTGTCAGCAATAATCGCTTTTAAGTGAAACCGGTATCTGTACAGTGTTTTTGTCTTTCACTTTTTTTTGCACTCTCTCTTTTAGCCTTATGATTATACACGGGGTACACTTAGAGCTAGACTAAACAATATGATAGGACTAATGAAGGCAGTGTGGAATCAAGCGTTGAATTCTCCAACCGGTTTACATGGACCTTTAATTAGTTACCAGATTCCCGCTATTACTTTACGAGCGGAACAAAAACAACGATTCACAGATCCGCGTAATTCAGAAATTCTCTCAGTTACAAGGTAACAAAACATGTTTTATACAGTAAATTCCGTTCACAAATTTAAACAAAGCAAGAGCAACAATCTTTTCTGAATATGGTGACTTCATGTTGTGTTTCTCTACTTTCAGTCCTCAGTTATAAACAAGCTGATAAGTTTATTTATTATGTTGATTCGAAGAAGTGAATTATCCACTTATTACCGAATCGGTTTTCTAAAATGTAACAGTCATTCATAAGATTTTGACTCATACTTGTTTCAGTTAAAAATCGTAGAATAGTTATGATAATTAATTTTACTATGTAATATAACAAGAAAATCTGAGAGGTTTAGAAAGGAGGACGAAGCAATGTAAATTTTACTTACTTACTCATGAAGATAAGGTTGAAAAGTTCAGCGTTCACGTCTGTTATCAAGTCCTTCGAAGGTTAACTAGTGACTCTTTAAAATCGAAAATCATGATTATATCTTTAAATCTCTGCAACTTGATTGAATCTTAATGGGATAAATGTAGGCTTTGTTGATGGTCACTCTGAATGGATTCAGAACATTTAGATAGTGTATTATCGAAGGCGAAGGTTCTTGAGGGATATATTCGGTCAAAAAAACAGAAACCTGCTTGTCTATCCTCCTACTCTACTTACTTTTATACGAACGTGTAACTTATACATAATCTGTATTTTTCGTTGTATTTTCATACCTCTGTAAACGTTTATCATATTTATTACTTCATATAATATTTTGGATAAAATCTTTTCTATTTGTTACATGATGTTTCATAAGCAATTATTATTATTATTATTATTGTCATTATTATTCCAATACTAATCATCTCAAATTGTTTAAAATATTTTGTATCTATCTTTCAAACTTTATGTTAGTGATAATTATTTGCATGATTTCAGATTACTGGAAGGTATTCTTCGTTCAATAAATAATTTACAAGAAAGATTTCATCAATCATTTTGGTATTATCTTCTCCCTAATCCATATCGATATATTTCAATCGGTGTTTATATGCCACCAGTATTGATCATGATTTTAAGCCTTTTACTCAAGGTTAGTATTGTAAGGTTTTTCTTTCTACTTAATTTTACTACTTGTGAGTAGTAAGTTAGTTCGGTTAAATAACGGTGATTAGTTATGATTTCATAGCAATTGAACTATTTAATGTTTCTTTTAATAATAGTTCCCAATGATAAAAAGTAAGACTTAGATTGATGAAATTATTAAATAATTTTTTTTATGAAGTTTTAATGTTCTAATGATGAAAGAGAGATAACGACAATCAGCCTAAATATTGTTGATCTAACTTTCTATGAATCTAGGCCCCTTGACTGAGAGAGAGAGAGAGAGTTGAGAGTAGAATTTCATGTTGATTAGTGTCGTGTCTTATAAACTGATGATGGTAAAGTTGACATTTCATAGTAATGTGTCTAACTTCAATATATAATAAATTTCCCTGTTTAATATATCTGAGATTAATTTCGTATTTCAGGTTTTTTATAATTAACTTGATTGAATAACGCAAAATAAGAATAATGATACGTATGGTGATAAAAATGTTTCTTTCCCTGAGTACTAATCAGCAAACAGATAATAATAGTAAGTGAATAAGTGAAGCATGAATATGACTGAGAAGTTTAATCTGTTTGTAGGCTTTTGAATGTATTTATGTTGTTCCGAGACACCTAATAAGTTGTTTTAGAAAACGTGCACATAAACGCACACATATTGTGTTCTCAACTTTCTGTACATAAACATAGAGTAAGACTCAAAATCCACACCGTCTTCCTTTGGTCTACTCGTAGCCTGGTAAATGGTTCATGGCAGTGTTCTGTTTTCTACGGTTTGTTTCTTATCTACTCTTTATTTCCTAAATTATCATTTGAAGCTTTTATCAAGTGAGTATTCGTAGATATATCTAGTGGCAGATTTGCCCAATTATCTTCAGTGCTCATAATGCCTTTATGTTTATAGATCGCGTTTCTTTGTCTCACTGCTGTCCCCCATCGTTGATGTGTCATGTTTCAGATTTAGCAACCTTTGACATTCATTGGTCACTTCTAGTAAGGTGATGCTTGAACATTGTTTAAGTTTGCTAAGGATTTCGGTTCGTATGTCAGTGACCTCGGGTGAATGCAGGCTACAGACTAACACAAGGTGCCTAAACTGGTCTTCTATCTTAAATAATAGCTTGAACCTCTCACAGTATCGGTTCAAAAGCCTTGCATACTTCACTCAGTTATTTCCAAACATTGATAGTGGTTATTGAAAATAGGTGACTGTTCTCCGAATATTTGAGATAAAGTTTAATTATTTCATCGAAACTAAAGTTACGGATATTCGTTGGAAGAATAACCTAAAACCACGGTTACACGTCAGCTCGAACAGTCGACGTTTCCACTTACAGTTTATATTATGTCATGGATGGTAACTAAAATGTGCTTATTATTAAATGCAAAGTACTGAATAACATTCAGTATGCAGCAGTGTACGGTTAGCCACAATTTCCATATAGTTCGTTCAGTCTGTTTAGTTGTTTGTCAGTTCACTTTTCAGCTCGTCAAATGCTATTGTTCGAATGCAGTCATTCGAGTTCGGCATACCTGCAATTCATTATTATTCAGTTTAAAGTGGAAAAGGATATTCACGACATAAAAACAAACTGTTTATTGATATGGCGTGTATAAATAACAGGTTTCTATATCCATCAAGCTCAGGAACAAAACCATAACAGATCCTGCAGCAATGTCATAATCAGACGTTTGTGATTTAAATACTGAATGTTAACGTCGCCCATAAAACATTGATTTTCCCGATGTTATTTGAAATCGAACTGGTGACATCTCCGGCAGTTGACTTTTTTCTGTTTATTATTCGTAGTGATGTTTATCCTTTAGTGAAGTTCTTCGATGCAACTAACCTAGGGCTCATGTGACTACAAAATACTCACTGTAGCCTTTATCCATTAAATTGTCTTTCCTTAAAACAAACTCTCTTTATCGTATACGGTTTTGCCGCTGTTGTAGCGTCATTTTATTTATTATTAGTCAACTAATCTACCGAAGTATGTTAAGTTAACACTTTTACCCGTGTAATACATTTGCCTCCGCCATACTAGCTTAAACACAAAACATTGATTTTCAAAAATAAATCGGGACAGATTTTGTATCAGTATGTCTCATTCTTTTACATCTCCACAAATCACTTCTCTCTATTTACTTCTTTTCTCTAACATTTATCAATTATAGCCATTTCTCTTCTGGATATTATTGAATCAATCTGAGTTAGATTATCATAATGATGATCGAATTATTTGCAGTAAAAAAATATACTCTTCTAAAATACCGAAATGCAAATCATCTCAGTTAGCTAATCATCATATTGATAAATCAGTCGATGATAATGCTCACTTAATCAATAATAACCAAACAATTCGTCAGCGTAATAAAACAAAGTCAGTAGCTGAAGAAAAGCCAATTGTAGATAAAAGAAGAAATGACCACAACCAAAAGGTAACATTTAGTTCTAATTATATTTGAAAGGGTTGATATTTTCCTGTTGTAAGATATTAAGTACTTCATTTATTCAGTCTGTGTTTGAATACATGATATTACTATTTAGTTACAAGTTTTTATTGAAGGTGTGTATAGTGTCAGGCGATGGGTTCTAGAATATGCGTTTCGTTTAATCCAGGACTTGTCAGCCGGATGTACCAGTGTACCCATTATTGGTATCCTTGACATCAATAACAGAAGAATACAAATCGTTACAAATAAAATTAATATTCATTGTACAGGCTAGTGTCTATCCGGACTAAGCAGATCAGTGAATAATGCTTCGCACTTGAAGTGAAAGGTACTCGGTTCGAGTCACAGTGTGAAGGTCAATACTCGGACGCAGGAAGATCCAACTGACAAGTCCCTTAGTTACTTACGTCTATTACCCCCCGAAGGAGCATAGGCCGCCGATCAGTATTCTTTAAACTACTCTGTCCTGGGTTTCCCGTGTCTTTCTCTGTTTCTCGGCGTAATGTGTTTCTTGGCCTTCCTCTTTTCCTTTGACCTTGGGGGTATCAAGGGTGGGCTTGACTTGTGACGAGGTTGGGTGCTTTCCGCATTGTGTGTCCTATTCTCTTCCTGATTTCTCCCTCTGCCGGAATCTGGTTCGTTCTCTGCCACAGTAGGCTGTTGCTGATGGTGTAACTGATAAGTCCCGCACAAGACAAAATGCACGTCCTGAATTTTGCTGCTAGTCGTCATAAAACTGATCGGTACGTGTAAGTGAGTGACAATATCGAGCTGATCCACTTAGGGTGCACATATATTCATATTAGACCAATCCCAACCGTAGCTGCTACCTTGAAGCAGTGGTCGGGCTTGCCTATCGTGATGACACAACCGAGCTATATTGACTGAAACATATGTTCCTGAAGGCTCTACCATGCCAGGCAGGTCGATTGGAGAACGGTGAGGCTAAAAGCAGCTACTCAATCTCTGAGGGCGAAGTCGCATTGCTGACTATAGAGGTGTGTGACAGCAGTAAGGTGTTTCCCCTGGACAACCGGAATCTGCAGCGATGCTGCCTTCTCACAAGGAAGGACGGGGTTAGAAAAGGTTGACTCTAAAAATGTCACACCTCACCCTACCTTACGGATTTCCATCTCCGACGGTAAGGGTGCCCACTAAGGGCTTTAAAAGAGCGGAGCTAATACTCTAAAAACCTTTCATAAAAAGGCCGTGTGTGACGGGCCTGAAGCAGTTGTCTCTTGGGCTGTGCGGTCACGCTCTCAGGTCTCAAAGACCGACACGAGTCTACCTCCCTTTTCAGGTTTCTTGGGAAACACCCACGGTGTGGGCAGCCGGGAAGTGACATCCGCCCTCATACCCGTAACAGCACACGAGGTTGAACTGGTCACAATCAAATCAACTAATCTAAGCTTGATCAACGTTGAAAATCAGAAAGCACTGGGTATCTATTTTGGTGCAGAATGAGACTCTTCAGCAGTGAGCAATTTCTACCCAGCCACCGTAAATTGAATCCAGGACCTTCGATATCGCACACGAACGTTTAACCTTTAGTCAGTTGAGCCGGTATCCAGCCTCCTTAATGTCTAGCTTCAGTGATGTTGCGCGATGCTCACTCATCGGCTGCAGTAGATAGCTGTCATAATCATATATCAAGGAAGATCGATGCTATTTTAACCGCAAGCATATAATTTTTCGCTTGATGTTGTTTAACATAATTTTTCAATTGTACTAAGCTCTAAATAGAGTAGTAAATTAATCATTGTCGATTAAATAACATAGGAAAAAAGAGCTGGTTGATGTATCCATCTCCTGCAATAACGGTTCATTCAGTGGACTACAGGGTTCTACCTACCGTGTTAACGTTTAATATTACTAAATGCATCTAATTTGCCGGTTTAAATTTTAATTGATATCATACTATTAAATCATAGCAACTAGTATTACTAAATTTGGCCTAATGAGTAAGGCCACTACCATTGCCACAATTAGTAATAGTAACGATAATAATAGTAATCATGTGACGTATATATCACACAACGATTTGCATACATAGTATTTACCATTGATTAGTCATAAGCAACGTGGATCCTGGCACATATGTGCGTGGGGGTTCAAGTCATTGCATCATATCAGCACGACGAGGTGAAATTGTCAAGACAAATGTAAAAGCAAAAGTAGTAATAATATCATTTGTAAAACATAAGTCAGAAATAGTATGACTCAAGATGAGTCCCGTACCAGGACGAAACGGCCGTCTAATGCTTCCAGGTTTCTAATAGTGGTCTAACAATGATTGATCGATGATTTCAAATGTGTAAATGCACTAATCTCCCTAACTCTAACTGAAAATAAACGAATTCGTAGATTGAAAAACTGATAGGAATTTTATAACTGAAGGTATATATATATATATAATTATCTGATCGACAAATTTGCTTTTTTCCGTCTTTCTACAGCATCATGAATCTAATTCACTATTATCCAGTTCTATTCCTCCGTACATACTATGTTTAATTCTACGCCTTAGTTTATGCTTTTGTATGGGCTTTTTACTTCATTCTTCACCAAAGTATTTATTCAAGTTGTCCAACCTACTATTAGTCGACAGTGATAATAACAGTAGTCGATCAGCAATGTCCACTTTAAAACTGGTTGATATATTTCTACTCGGTATTACTAGTTTAATAATTTTCGTAATGATTGCTTCACCATTTCTCATGCTTATCATACAAAAGTAAGTTCTGTTCTTATTTATGATTTGTTTTTAAAAATTTATATTTACGTTTTGTCTCATATGAAATTGTCAATCAGTCACAACCATCTTAGAGCCTGGCACATATGTGCATTGATCCGATCGTTGTCGTTACCTTGACTTGGTGGTTCAGCTTGAATATCATAATCACCCAGTAGAGCTATGTTGTCAAGTTCAGGTTGTTTGGTAAGTAGTTAAACTAAGAGCAGCATCTTGATATCTGAGGGCAAAGTTGTACTACTAACTCTCAAGGAGCTGTAGCATCAGTAATACGTTTCTTTCAGACTAAAAGCAGCAACTCAAGGTCTGAGGACGAAGTCGTACTGCTGACTGTAGAGGGGTGTGACGGCAGTAAGGTGTTACCAGCATCTGCAGCGATGCTGCCTTCTCACAAGGAAGGAAGGATTTAAAAAGGTCGACCGTAAAAATGTCACACCTCACCTTACACCACGGATTTCCGTCTCCGGCGATAAGGGCTTTTAAAGAAGGGAGCTAACATGTTCAAAACTTCTCATAGAAAGGCCGTGCGTGACCAGGGCAACCGGGCAGTGACATCCGCCCTCATAACCGTAACAGCACATGAGATCAACTTGGTAGGTCGGTTCACAATGTATTGCAATGACCATCTAGTAAAATCGATGGTGGACGTTTCACTCTCGAGATGGTTCAACTTCAGAGCTTACTATTAAAATGTCCGAATTCATCTCACAGCAAAACGCCATCTAGCACATTATTCTATTGTTTTGCAGGTTTTTTAAATCCAGTTGTTTGAAGTTGGAAGTGTGAAGCACTGAATTCCAACTTAGTTGTTCAAAGTCTAAGCATCCATCATAAGACCTGAAGTCCTCTAGGTTTCGATCTTTAACAAGTCCTCTGAGTGTAAACTTATGAGGAGTTCCATATCGGGACGAAACATGTGTTCAGTTTTTTCTGGTTTTCAATGATACCCTTAACGGGTGTCGCCGATCCTTGATGGATGATCACTCGCAAAGTCTTTGTTCAAAATATTCTTTCCGGTCATCATGATCTTCCATTGTTTAGTTTTTTCCTACTTATTTTCTTATATTTCATAGGCTTATGAATTTATATGGAGCGGATAAACGAGATATAACCGGCCAGTTATGCCTTTTCAGTTGGTCGTTATTTTTAAGTTGTTTAACATGTTTAAATATATCGTCAGCTGTTGTTCTTAGTATTCCAACTATTCCTCTGCTACACTTATTTGTACAGAGAAGAAATAACATCAAGATAAGAAAGTGGGTTTTTTTCCTTCCAATTTTTAATAAGTGCTATCTTTTACGTTTCATCAGTTTTATGTATTAAAAGTCTAAGTCTAGAAATACTAGAGTAGAAATGGTAACTAGACGCACAAGATAGTGTTCATTGTATATGAGATTCTTAATTGTGTTTAAAATATATAAACTGTAGGATAGGTTCGAATCTTGCCGCTTCACGTACTTCGGTTAGGGCATCTATGTACCTGTACTGGATGTTACTCACATGACTGCATTCAAGTAGTTCACAGCACAGCGTCGCCTAGAAGTTACTACTAGAGATCAAACTATTCGGTACGACCAGTGCATTGAAAACGAAAATTTTTATGCGACAAGACAATCAAAATCCTGCTTGTATTGTAAATGGATGTTTGAGGATTATGTAAACATTACTTAGCGTCTTTTAGCGAGTTAGTTTCCTATGGGATGGAGTCGCCAACCTCATGCTCAACCTTCCTATTTAGTCTGGGCTTGGCCCGTAAATAGCCCCAGAGGGGCTGCAGGCAGAGTTTTGTGTAAACATAGTTTGTAAATAAACTGTCTTTTCCAAATATACACATTCCATCTGGTCTTGACTTCTTTGTACACTACATACCTACCTATCACACGTGAAATATGCCTCGACATTTGGTGGATAATTCTGTACTTCAGAAAGATGATTTACACTGTGCATATCAAAACTTCAATCATCAAAATCAGTATTTCGAATAACACAGATTAAGTATCAATGTGATATAGACCTGAGTGTTATTTTCTAGAAAGGATACATTTAGAAATCAGCCATTAGTTAATTATAATTACCGTTTAATGTCAATAAAGTCATTGTCAAGTCCTATTATTTAGAGACATCTCCCATGATGATAAAATCGTGAATTAATTAAAGTTATTTATGTACAGCGTTGAATGTCGGCTCATTGGTTTCAAGCATCCGCGCGTGACGCCGATGGTTTTGAGCTGGATTCCCTGTTGCAAGGTAGTAGATGCTTACTGCTGAGACTAAAAAGGCAATCCAATGCCTCCTGAATTTCAAAGTTGTTTTAGCTAAGATTGATTAATTTAAGATCTATTCAATATATTAATATTCACAGTTGTCTATTTCAGATCATTTACAATGAAACTGATAAAATATTTCACTATCATTAGTTGGCTAATTACATTTACACCGATATTAATAGTTTTAATGTGTATTATTAATTCTGGTATTGAACAACAATTTTATCCAATCAATATTAACACCATTGTGAATTGTTATGAAAAATGTATCTTACAAAGTTTAATTGAAGCCGATTTATTTGGTTGTTGGACATGGTCAGTTATAACATGTGGATATACATCGTTATGGTTATTAACATGGTTAGAGCTATTTTCTAAATGAACATGAAAACATGAATCAATTGTTATTTTATTTTTGTTACTAATATTTCTCAATTATTCATGTATCATTTGATTTTTGTAACTAATATATCTATCTATGTATTACAACAAAGTGTATTCGATTCATGTGTTTTTATTTGTGAAGTTGTTATGTTTTTCTAAAGATTATTAATACGTTTACGAGTACATGGTCTGCAACCTCTTTTGTTTTCCGGATTGTCATTAGTACCGTTCAGAATCTGGTGCAAATGAATTTAGTCTATGAAATACAGTAATAATCTGTATTTTATATAATCGGAATTACTTTGCAATTTTGATCTGTTAAAACTTTCAAATATGCTTCTTCCAACAGTTGTTAACCACTGTTGTTTAAATATGATGACCATTATTCTGTAAGACTAGGTCAAATATAGTAGTCGCTTACCGTACCGCTTGACTACTGTTGTGTTTCAAATAGAAGAAAGCACCCTCCTGGTTTTCACTGCTAATCACTTCCATAGTTTATCTATAAAAAATTCAGTCAGTATTGAGTAGTTTGATAATGACTACTTTTAAACAATTATTTATTATAAGGAATGTTCATTAAAAATCTGTCAAGGTCTTTCTAAATAGCTTTTTGTTAAAAACAAAACATTTTATTGATTATAGCGGTAGAAGTATTTATAGCAGAGTTACTAATTGTGCTTAAATAGGTATAATTTTTTATTGAATTAATACTGTACTGTATATTATGATGCGACAAATATAGGCTCGTATATTCATATAATAGCCTACTAATACATATGGACATCATTGGCAAGTTGCATAGAAAGGTTGTGGTTGGCCAAATTTACCAAACTCTTTAGATTGTGAAGATATATTTATCTACAGAATCTCCTAAATAAATGGAAACCAGCTGTAGGAAAAATGAAAACCAGGGATCATTGGGTAGTTGTTTTGTCCAAACCACCTTATTGATATGTTTTGTCTTCAGTGAATGATAATCTTATCCACAAACTATTAGCTTTCCAAATGTATTACTCAATATACCAAGAAGAAGCCTTAAGTGTTTGATCATATGAAGTTTACGAAACAGATTCCAACACTACTTAATCAAATCTAAACGACTTTAATCATACTTCCAACCTTGTACATATTAGTAGGTAATACATATAAATGGGAAACTTATCATAGGAATAAGACGAAAGTGGTGGTTGAACTTCTTGCAATTGTAAATTTACTGTAGTATTTTCTCTTAACATTGGAGGATGTCTGGTGTAAGAGGAGCTATTTTTGTAACCAATGGTTAGTGGTTGAGTGACATGTTAGTATCATTTGATAAGGCACTCGTCACCTTCCCTTAGATCCTAGGTTTCTAAATGATCATGTTTCTTTATATTCCATGCAAGCCACGTTTCCTATGCCTAATCTTTTCTACTTCCCTGGACCTTGTCTTGACAGTTTCTTCTCACTGAGGTAATGTTGGTTGGGAACTTGGATGAAATCGCATACGTGCACGAATCTGCGCTGTATATAACTGACCGACTAAATATCAGATTATTATGTCAGTTATAAGCTAAATGTGATTCATATGTTTCATTCCCTAAAGCTTCGTTAATTAATCCAGTAAATTATTTTTATCTAAAAGGAGTACGTACTAAGGCCATATTACCAGAAGCTGCTAACAGCTAGTTGTCACTTGGATTATCGTAATCCAGTTTCACTAAAACCATAAGGCGATCTTAGTTACACCACCAGTAAAAACACTGTGCGGCCTTTTCGTCCTAGTATGGAACTCCTCTGTAGTATGTTTCCACGACACTGCACGCGGAAGTGTGATTGACGCTAACACTGTTGAATGTCAACTTAGTGGTTTCGAGGTTAAGTAATCGCGTGTGGAACTATGAATGCGCACCGTTGAGGAGATTCATAATAGGTCAGGGCGGCCGTCCATGTGTTGTGCGCTAGATCAGTATGTTTTCAATGAAATTCAACAATCTACACGAACCCCCACCCACTAACGAAAACCACAGCACAGCAGTTTACTTCAGCTTCGCCCTGTTGATTGCAGTCAGTACTCATATAAAAAATTGTAAAACACGTTATATTCCTATGTTAAAAATGTCATACTATTAATTTAATTTGTCTGGGGTATACAGAGTCAATCCAGTTAATAACTGAGTTTACTCTAGTCATCAGGATGATTCATAAGATCCACTCATTGTCAGTCACTAGTGAGCACAAAATTATTGTTGAGATGTTAGGTGGTTTCTTAGTTCGAAGTTCATTTCTATCATACACATACTGTCTTTACAACTTTTAGTGAGAACTTAGCTGACAATTTATGTCATTACTGTATTTATATGAGATAAGAAAAGATGAGTAGTATCAAGAAAGTTAGAACTCACAAAAATTTATAAAAAACAAATTTCGAAATTAGAGAGATACCAATAAATTGATTTAATTCTTGTGCATCTAAAAGTTTATTGTTTAGCCAATCATACACAATCTAACTATAATTAATATAGATGGCTAACTATTGTATTGATTTGCATATTTAATTAACTTCATAGCTTATTGAATCTAAAGCAGCACACGTTGGTATTTTATCAAATTACGCTTTAAAATGTTATTTTAGAACTACTTAATCGATATTCCAACGGTGCATTATGTTTAGCGTTGTATTTAAGAATAATCCAGAGTTAGAAACATTCCGTTCTAATAAATTTGTATTAGTAGTCTGAATATTTCCATTAATAAGACTGCAATTGATCAGTCTCATTTGATATATCTGCATTAAGTGTGAAATGTCTCGATATCGCCTTTAGGTTACAAGCATTATAATAGGTGGATAACGCGATGGCTTTTGAAGTGAAAAGTACTGGGTTCGAGTCTCTGAGTGAACATCAACTCTGGGATGCAGGCAAATCCAGCTGACTAATCCTAAATGAGACGAAACGCGCGTCCGGTATCACAATGCTACTAATAATTATTCAGTTCTTTTGTGACGAATTTTTTAGATTAACGAGTAATTTATTAGCTGTATTCTCTCTCTCAATATATATGTTGAATTTATCTGAACGAAAATGCTAATTGCGAAATATTTCGCTACCTAGTTAGGATGCACGAAGTCATTGTAGCTAACAGTTGAATACATTAGGTAACGGCTTAAAATCTGTGGGAGTTATGTAGCAAAAAATAAGAATCCTTTTCGTCTCCTAAATTTATTTTTTCTTTAAGAGTTATGTTTACAACATCTTTTTTGTCGCTAATCTGTGATTCACCAAGTTAATTCTATCTCACTGTGTTGATAGAGTTAGACAGAAGTAAATTATAAAACCATTGATCTTGTGGGTTCTTGGGTTTTGACGTCTTCGATGACATCAAATTCACGATGGAAAAGGAATCAAACAACAGCCTATCATTCCTAGATGTACTAATCACCAGGACCAACTCATGAAAAACTAGAAACTCAAGTATTTCGGAAGCCAACCCACACAGACGTAATTCTCAACTACGACAGCAACAACCCAAGAACCCACAAGATCAACTGCATACAACCTTTGTTCAAGAGAGCGAAGACACATTGCAGCACATACGAAGCATTAAAAAACGAGGAAAAACACCTGATGACTATCTTCCAAAAGAACGGCTATCCACGCAACTCCATCAAAAAACATCAACCGAAAACATCATCAGAAGCGAAATCAAGCACAGAAACAAATAAACGCATCATCCTACCATACATCAAAGACATATCGGAGCAAACAGCTCGACTACTGAAACCATTTGGAATAGGTGTTGCACACAAACCAACAGAATCACTTCAATCAATCCTATGTAGACCAAAGGACAAAATGACAAAGGAAGAAAAACCAAATATCATCTACAAAATAAATTGCTCAAACTGTGAAAAACACTACATAGGACAAAGTGGACGACCTCTTCAGCTCCGTTTACGTGAACATCAATTAGCAGTCGAACGCCACGACAACGCTTCGCTTATCTCAATACATACCGACAACTATGGACACATATTCGATCGGAACAATGTGGAAATACTGGGTAGGGGGAGGACAAAAAACGCTAGAGAATTTTTAGAAGCTTGGCACTCAGGCCAATCAGCAATAAACAAACACATCGACATTGACTCAATCTATCAACCAATCAGAAAAATCATAGGATCAAGAAACAGATCAAAAGGGGGGTGCAATCAAAACAAAGTTGCAAACAACGACAGGTCAAAAGACAACAGCAATCAAGCAAAATCGAGGTTAGCAGAACAAGCTACAGGTCAAACGTGGAGAAATTCGAATGCTTCACTTCTATCTGAAGTTTGTGCTGATGATGTTGTTCAGAAGAACAATGAAAGCTACACAATCAAAACAACCAGCTCAGAGAACAAAACACCACCACAATCATCCATCTCAGCTTCAAGTTTTCTCCACCATCTCGGAAGCGATCAACTGCTTCACTGCCTATCACTAGTTCAGGTGCAGATACAACCCAATTCTGAAACAACATTTTGCATTTCGAGGGTGAGAATCGCATCTGGAACGTGCTTGTATCGTTGCATAAGGTAGTCAGAAGGAAAGCGTTTTGTCAGCGTTCTCACCAAATGTTATCGGCATATTTCAAATCAACAAGTGAACCTCTGGGTAGAAGGTCAACTCTATTGAAATGTCAAATGATGAAAGTGTTGTCCCCAAAAGCACGTGGATTATATATTAAAATAAGAATGGAGAAAGTGAAAAATCCTGGCGAACACCACGCGAGGTAATCAGTTTCAGTGAGAGTTCGTCATAAGCTCTAACTCGGCCAGTAGTGTTCGATTAGAGCCTGCACAATGTTAATGTAGTTTCTTCGTGCAACTTTTAATGACAGACACTTACAAAACCAGTCGAACTCTACCTTAAGGTCGAGGGATATAACTACTGTCTGACGTCTAAATGAATCAGAGAACGAACCAAATCCCAGCTGAGGAAGAAATTAGGAAAACGCGCCGAAGTTGGATAGAACAAAACTTCGGAAAGCATCCAACTGCGTCACGAGCCCAGGGTCAAAGTGAAAGTGGGAGACCAAGAATTGGAGGTGGACATGAAAAGAACGAATAGCAATCGAGGAGAATCGGGAAGGAACGGACAGAGTTGGTCGGAGAATCCTCGTTAGCAGTCTATGCTCCACAAGGAGTAATAGGTGTAATGTAGCAACTTGAACTGATGAGTATATTTGTAATTTTCTACACTGATCTTGACTGACTAATATGTAAAACATGAAATTAATTAAATTCTTAAGATCATGGTGTCGTGTCCGCATATAGAGTTGTTTTCCATTGATTTAGAAATTCAAACTTTAAAGATTAGTCTGCAGACTGAACACCATCTCCCTTAATTCGAGTAGGATCAACCCCAAATCTACAGAATTTACTCACGTGAAAGGATAGAACGTAAAACTTTTACGAAGTCCCAGTATAAAATGATGAATCATACCAGCGAAAGACATAATCACGATGAGTCTCATACTAGGATGAAATGGCCGTCCACTGTTCTCAGGTTTCCAATGGTATTCTAACATCGATCAGTTCACGATTATAAAGAAACACAGAACAGATGGTTTGCTATTTTATGTAGCCAAATTATTCATCATCTCATTAGCATCAGTATTAAACTTGTAGGTATGCAAAGCTGTGCAAATTCATGATTTCAGAACTTACTAATTTGAATCACACCTAAATTACATCATTCATAAACCTTATACTATCATCCTGCTCCGGTTACCAGTAAATGTTGGGACAAACAACAAGTAGTAAGACGTAAACCTACCAACTAACAAATACTACTTTGATGGTTTTCTTGCCAAAAGGGGTTAAAATCTCGACGGTGAGATATAAACTCAAAAAGGATGAAACTTGAATAAAGATTTCGTTGACTTCTAACTCGTTTCGCATCTATACAGGAAGATGACACGGAAATAATATATATATATATATATATATATATATATATATATATATATATATACGTCGACGTTGACAATAAAGCCATCTGTAGGATAACTGAAGGTCATTCAAATTATTTAGAAGAAAAGCTACTAAATATTTAGAGATAAATTTCTTGGTATTTTTCATCAAGGCACACAAACAAGGACAAGCAATGAGTATAGTAGAAATGGAATGTCAAAGCAACAGCAAAAATAAAACTGATAAGCAAAAGTGAATATATACGTGTATATATGTTTTGAAAAGTTATATAATGTGTTAACTATAAAATTCGATTTGTCGAAAAGTATAGAGAATCAATTAGCAATAAAATTATGTTTCGTTCGTTTGGCCTTCCTCTTCCTCTTGACCATGCATAATCAATCGTGTAAATTCTTTGTAATCGAAATTGCCATCTTGAATTGGTGCACCATGGAATAATTCGTCGACTTTCTCATTAGACCACCTATCTCCCATTGTAGTCATTATTTCACGTAAACGGTTTTCATTTATTACGCCTATAAACAAACCCAATAATTTATATAACTAGCATTTAATTGAAGTGATGTCATTTGAAAAAAACTCATTTTTGACAAGAATAAAACTTGAGTGTCCCCAAGTTACTGTAAGTTGACTCGTGATATTAAGTTATTTAATACGATTATTAACTAATTTACCGGTACTCGAATATGAGCCACCTTTAAAGAATGAGAGCTAATCATGTACAAAGTGACGTAGTTATTATTTTTGATTTCCTTGAAATCACTGAATTAGGCTTAGACATTTCTGCTTTGTACGTGCCCACGAATGCCCTGGTACGACTGAGAGTGGGGAGTCTCCTCTCCCTCTTGAAACGCTCTCATTTGGCCACACATTCATCATCAGGTAAATTCTACTCACTGCATTCTTGTGGCGCGAATGTTATTTACAAAATTGAGAGGTCAGTCGGTCAGCTACAACGCAGAACTTTGTACGTACATACGTCACTTGAAGCTGCCATACCAGATCAGCACACAGAGAAGGAATTGTACATTCCAATCTCATAATAGTAGAGGTAGTCGAAGTATTAGCAGTAATGGAGATTAGGGATCAAAAATATGATTCGAGAATAATCCAGTGAAATAAATTTAAAAAGGGAGAGGATTAAAAGCGAATATGTGGTGCTTAAACTGGGTATGTGGATACGGAGGATCGACCTAGGTAAGCTTTAAGACCTTTATTCCAAATCAATGATGCATATGGATTCCAGTATCTTGAACGAATGGCGTATAAACCTATTGTTGGTTACTGGCTACCATGGGACGGTAATTCCTGACGTTGCTCCACTCCCTATGGACCAGGTCCCTTGATCAAAGGCTCGGGGAATGGTCCCTCAAGAAAACCACCAGTTTCGGTTTGGGTACTCAGATGATATCATAACTCACACACAAATTCAATGATGTGTAGTGAATAAATATTTCCGTGAGCTTTTGTATTGATGTGTTTTAATAAATATACTAAATTTGAGTGAAGAACTATGGGTTCAGGTGGCTTTAAACATATCTCAACGTAAGTTAACTGAAGAATTGTAGTCAGTAGATTAGTAAGAAATATGGGAAACGTGTTTTATGAATACTGAGAGATTCTCGTATTAGGACTGTTATTCATTAGTAATCAGGACTTAACCAACTGTTTAAATTACTTATCGACCAACTGGCTATGTTCTTATTGGTTGGAACACATTTTGCACTATGAAATTTTGAAGCCATCAATTTTACGTTGGTCTGTTTTGCCGTTAACTGTTGCTGTTGTCGTCTTATCATTTTAAATGTAAGCATAAATTTAATTAATTACGACTTATTGTAGAACCACACCTATCATTCATATAAGATATAAATAAAGTAAAAAGAAGTCTTCCGATTTAAGTAAACCTTGTAGGCATTACTCAAGTGAATTCAACCACTATTTTAGCGACTCTGACATAGTGTGTGAATATTTGCATCTGCGCAATTGCAAACGGTTTTGAGCCACGTCATTCAGGAACTTTAACCATCGATCACTATCATCTCGCAGGCCCCAACCACGTACTCGACGCCTACCGACACGACACAGTCCGATTGTCAGTGACTGCAGGGATTTATGCCATGTTTTAGTTTGGCCGCCACTAGCTTTTATCCAACCTATTCCTACATCGCGCACCATAGATCGACGAGGCGTTCGGTGATTGGGCTTTCGTAACACATGTCCCAACCACCTTAACTGATGAAGTATCAATACTTCATCAATTGATCTCCCATCCTTACCTAGTACTAGTTTCCTAATGGCAGCATTGCTGTCCCAGGATATACGAGTAATGCTTCAGAGACACCTATGATCGAAGACAAGCAACCTACGAATGTCCTTTACTCCCACCGGTCATGTTTCGCATCCGTATAGTAGGACGGAGCGAACTGCTGCGCAGTATACTCGACCTTTGATTAGCAAACCGCATCCTGAACATGCTTGCATTGTTGCTTAAGGTAGTCAGAAGACCGCATTTTGTCAGCGTCTTCACCGAATAGGACTATGTCATCAGCATACTCAGCAAGCGTGTCTCCTGGGAGAAGGTCCACTTCTGAAAAGTCAGACGATGATAATGTTGACTATAAAAGCACATCTACGACAAATTTAAACAGCAATGAAGAAGGTGGACAGCCCTGATGGACACCACTTGAAGTAACTAATTCCGAAGACAGTTCGCCATATGCTCTCACTCGACCCCTGGTGTTTAAGTAGATAGCGTTTATAAGGTTAATGTACTTTTTTGGTACAGTTTTCAATGACAGACAATGACACAGAACCTCATGATCAACAGAGTCAAATGCCACTTTTAGGTCAAGGAAGACAACTAAATGTGTATCTGTGTTCCAGGACCTGTCGTACTGTGAAAATGTGGTCTATAAAGCCACGTCCAGGTCTGAAACCAGCCTGGTTTTTTCTAGTCTGCTATTCACGAGCTTCCATTAAGCGTCGCAGTATTATTGAGGCCAATATTCTTGATACTACATTAGTTAGGCTGATTCCTCTATGATTGTCAAAAGAGGATTCTTGTCCTTTCTTCTAAATTGGGACAATCTGGGATTGAGACCAGTCGTATGGGATTGTGTCCAGTCCCCAGATTCTACCTAAGATCTCAGTCAATCTAGCTGCTAAAACTAAACTACCATCCTTAAAAATCTCAGGGGTAAGCCTATCAGGCACTGCTGCTCTACCTGGCTTAGGATTTCCTATCGCTTTCTCAACTTCATAAAGACTCGGAGGGCTCACGTCAACTTGCCATTTAGGTGGACTGGAGATCGTGGGTAACCGAAGTGTGGCTGGAGGTCAATTAAACTGATCCCTAAAGTGTTCTGCCCATTGATTCAATCACATGGATTGAGAATCAATAACAGTCCCATCCTTTTCGGAGATAGTCTCACCTACAGTTGGATTCCTAATACCGGTTTCCTTGATAAGTCAAAACAACTGTCTGCTGTTGTCTATCGCCGTTGCCTTTTCCATCGTTCTTGCTTTTGCTGACCGCCACAGTTCTTTCTAGTCGCTCCTGGAATATATTCATAGCTCTGCTATCAGTAGGTCGAACCCTAAGAGGGTTCCTTGCGGTGTCTTTCCTACGTCCAATAAGTCTCAAACAAATACGGGCTCGCACTGGGTCATGATCTGAATCTAAACATGTGCCCCAGAACAAGCGACAGTCCTCTGTCGAACCCTTCCAACGGTAGATGACAGCGATGTGATCTAGTTGGGTTCAACGTTGGGACTTCAGTGGTCGCCAGGTCGAGATGTTTTTCCTTATGCATAAAGTTAGCGTTTGCTAGAAATAGGCGGTTATCTGGGCACAGTTGCAACAGACGGTCACCATTATCTGTTCTATTAGCCGCGACACTATAAGATCCACCCAGGTGTCTTTCCTTTTCACTTAGTCTACCTACTTGAGAATTGAAGTCACCAGCCATTATTACCACAACAGAGCGCCTAACTTTTTAAACGAGGTTCGAAAGCTTTCTGAAGAACTCACCTTTCACATAGTCTAAACTGCAGTCAGTGGGGGCGCAGGAAGATACCACGAAAAGGCAACAGCGAGTGTCCCCATCTTTCCGAATACTTTCTGTCCCGTTTAGTCGGACAGCGCATAAGCGACTATCTACTAGGATCCAGTCTAGGAGAACTAGTTCTGCCCTAGGACTCAATGCTATACCTACTCCAGTGAGACCGCGGGAAGCAGCATCAGGGCCCTATTTGATACAATGTCCGAACATTAAATGCTCCAATATGTAATTTAGAAAGAGGTTTCAGCAGACCATGAATAACGTTTCGTGAACTCGCATCGTTCGCATTAGCAGTGTGGGGTGTTAAAGGGATGTGAGATGGGTGAGTCGTGGAGACAAGAGAGATGTTAGTGGGTGTAGGAAGGATTTGATTGTGACCAATTTGGTCTCGTGTGTTGTTACAGTTATGAGGGCGGATGTCACTTCCCGGCTGCCCACACCGTGGAAGGGTGTCTCTTGAAGAGCCTGAAAAGGAAGTTTGATTAGTGTCGGTCTTTGAGACCTGAGAGCGTGACCGCACAGCCCAAGAGACAACTGCTTCAGGCCCGTCACACACGGCCTTTTTATGAAAGGTTTTTAGAGTATTAGCTCCGCTCTTTTAAAGCCCTTAGTGGGCACCCTTACCGTCGGAGATGGAAATCTGTGAGGTAGGGTGAGGTGTGACATTTTTAGGGTCAACCTTTTCTAACCCCGTCCTTCCTTGTGAGAAGGCGGCATCGCTGCAGATTCCGGTTGTCCGGGGGAAACACCTTACTGCTGTCACACCCCTCTACAGTCAGCAGTACGACTTCGCCCTCAGACCTTGAGTAGCTGCTTTTAGTCTTGTCGTCTTCCTTCAGGAATATATATTACAGCCAATATAGCTCGCTTGGGTCATAGCGGTTGGCGAGCCCGACCACCATGTCAAGGTAGCAGCTACGGTCGGGCCTTGAATGGCTTGGCTAAAAACCGTTTGCAATGGCGCACATGCATTCATTCTTTGTGTTCTCTCAAATTCGAATCCTCTGAATTCCTTATCACCTTTATCTTTCTGTTTTCAAGTTTATTTCACTAGATTATACTTCTTGAATGAAACCTTCAAACCCTAATCTCTCCGATTACTGCTAATACTTCTACTACCTGTAGTACTGTGGGATGTGAATTGAAAATTGCGTCTGTGTGCTAATGTGATATGGCAACTTGTACTGATGTACATGCGTACAAAGTTCTACGTTGTAAATGACTGACTGACTGATATAATGGCACCTGAAACAAAAAAGTATATCAATTTTACAAAAATTCTGTAACTGATATAAAATACTAACTTGGAGAAGGGAATACAGAAAAGTTAACCATACATACCTGTACCCTCAGGATCAAAACAAGCAAAGGCGTTTAAAATCGTTTCTTCTGGGTCACATCCCGACATTTTGTCACCAAATAATGTTAAAAACATTGTGAAATTAAGCTGACCGGGAGCTTGTGAAAGCATACCGTGTAAATGATCATCGTTTGGTGATTTTCCCAAGGAAACAAAAATCTCTTCCAAGTCATGCCTATCAATGACACCATCTTTGGTTGCATCGATCATTTGAAAAGCTTCCTGTTTAGATGATTGAAGCCATTAACAACAATATATTAACAATATTTTAAACACTTGAATTTAAAAAGCTTTACATAAATACCTGTAAAACTTAGCCAACAGCGATACTTGCGACCTTGGTGTTAGTTTGGAGTTTTATGGTTCAGTCTTTATACAATTCTATAGGCCAACATATAAGTTTATGGGGTTATCAGCAACTAGATTGGTCCATGTAGCGATGTATTTTTGGATTACTAGACGTGAAACAGTATTTTATGTTTGGAGACTTTTAATATATTATGTATGAAAATCGGTAGTATGGATAATGATCCATATTATCTTAATTTCGCACTAAATCTTGAGTTTTAAGGCCATCTTATTCGCTTTGCTGATGATTATCTTTCATTTTTGTAGAACTAAGTTTTTTGATTCAGATCTCCCTACGCTTAATATTATTTCAGTTGGCATGACGTTAACTTTCTTTGAACTGACACGAAGTACAAAGACTAAAGCATGTGTACTTGTATCAGGTACAGTATCGTGAACCGCTGATACTCGCCGTTGGATATATTTAAATCAAAGTACAAATTACCGGTAAATGTCTTTGGTAAAGACAGTGACAGTTACCTTACCCAAAAATGAACTGGGAAACAGTTGTAACGGTCTGCAACAAGCATTATAATCAAGGATATTCGCAGTCCACGATGATCAGAAAGTAGGACAACGGTTATTTGATTGCATTTGCTGACGGTGATAGAGATTTGTTTACCTTTATGTCCCATCTTCTTGAAATCATAAATCAATACATTTGTTATGAAGTTGGTAGATCAACATGTATTGCACAGAAACAACTTCGGATGAAATTAGGCACATTACATAACAAATCAGTATTCAAGATGTTATAGATATTCAATAGGTCAACTCAAGAAAATATAAAGAGCTTTATTTGTAGGGTGTTAGCATTGGATCTCAGCTTTCTTAACATCGCAAACCTGAGGTTTAAATTGTATAGATCATGGTTCGAGACAATCTTGAGGTCTTGCTACTAACCATTTGCATTCAAAATTGATAGCGATTTACTTAAAAAGTTTTAGATGAATTGTTTTCAAATAAATTACCGTTTTTTGATACCGAGTTTGGTGCTAATTTAGCTGACCTACGAAATTAAAGGTAGAATACCTAATACAAATGCTTTACGTGTTGATATTGTAGAAAAACAAATAGCTCGACGATGATGCCAAAAGGTAGATATCGAGGGTGATGCAAAAGTGCTAATTTTGAGACAGCCCCTTTTAACAAGGAAGAGTTGGACTACCAACCTCGAACAAGAGAGAAGGGCGACAATATGTCTCATTGCCTCTTATATTTACATCCACTTTACCAGCGGATTTTCTTAAAATTCGGCCTTCGCTTCACAACATCGGTTTGTCTGAAGTACCGGCAAAACAAATAATAAGAACTAGGAAATACTATATGTTATGTTGCACACTAATTTCAGGAAAACTGTATATATACCTTGAATTCGCTAATTTGATTTTCATTAAACATTGAAAACACATTTGAAGTGTACCGTTGAGTACGATTACGAGCTCTTCGCTTGGTCTTTGTGCAGGCCATCTTGTATGATCAAAGTATCGCTAACACGAACAAATGGTACGACCCTTTCAAGGCTGTCCGCTCTTTCGTTCTTCCAATATATCCAATATCCAATATTTTTTAAGAGCTAGTGTAAACCAATTGATTTCTTTGCGCTCGATTCTTGTTTCTTTCGGTACGGTTATCTATGTTTACAAATAGTTACGGTTTCTATAATCGAATGTTTCTGGTTCGCATAGTTTTAGATTTCATATACATTGTTCTTAAGCAATCTTATTAATTTTTTATAATTGTGGATCGTAAAACTTAGAAAACTAGGATTTGCACCCCGCTGACAATTTAAGTGATGTTTCTTATTACTTCTGTAAAAAGTTTCATATATTTGAGTGTCATATTGTATTCATTCTTGAAATAATTTTATCGCTGTTTTGATAGTGAAAGGTTTGTTATTGACCACAGCATTGAACGAATCAATATACAGCAGATGTTATACATTTGAATTGATGTGGGCCGGTGGGATGTTCATGGTGTTATTATATCAAAGTAGACTTCCCACATATTAAGATGACGAAATCATTAAAGAAATATAAACTGGTATTCTTCTCTGTAATGTTTATGGAGCTTCGTCTTGACGAGATGTCAATCGATGTAAACGATGCGTTTCAACGTATAATTCTGACCATAGGTTTTGTAATCTGGAGTGAATTTTAGAGTGCTCTAATTTAAAGTGCTCTAATTCAAAAAGGTCTGGGGAAAAATGTAATCGCCTTGTGGAGTACTCGACCCATTAGAATGGTTCTGTTTGTGATCCATTGTCTTCAAAAGATAAGGAATATTTGAAGTTAATGGTGCTGCAGACACCATCAGTAGATAAAGTAATAGAAAGCATTGAATGTTGAACCGATAAGCAAATAACAGCTACGAATGTGAAGGCTATGAAAGGTCAGCTCATATACCGTCGATCTTTTCGCTTAAAAATCTGAAACAATATAAGCTCAACGCAAGCAAGCATTTCTGGGGATAACCTAAAGAGTTTAGGATGCCATAAGTCAAGTGAAGGTCACTGTTAGTCAATTTCATAACTGATTGCAGTTATGTCATAATTAACCAACCAAATTGTGGTTTAAGTGATCTGATCTGACGTGTATGTAAACTTTCTTTGTTGTAAATGACCTAATAATTTAAGGACATTATTATCTTATTATATTGATGTGACTCATGGCTTTATTCATTTTCATAAGACACGCTAAATTGGTCGGTACGTTTGCTCGTTATACTTGATAATTGTAATTTCCTTAATTATTGTACTAATCTTGTTGTTTTTATGTTTACTTACTTACTTACTTACGCCTGTTACCCCCAATCGAGCATAGGCCGCCCACCAGTTTTCTCCAACCAACTCTCTCCTGGGCTTCCCTCTCCAGTTCTGTCCAAGTTTTCTTCATTCTTCTCATGTCTATCTCAATTTCTCGGCGTAATGTGTTCCTTGGTCAGCATCTTTTCCTTTCACCTTGAGGGTCTCATGTGAGGGCTTGTCTTGTGACGCAGTTTGGTGGTTTCGTAGTGTGTGTCCTATCCACTTCCACCGGTTCTTCCTGATTTCCTCCTCCATTGGAATCTGACTTGTTCTCTCCCACAGTTCGTTGTTGCTGATGGTGTCTGGCCAACGAATACGAAGTATTTTGCGTAGACAGCTGTTAATAAACACTTGTATCTTCTGGATGATGGCTTTGGTAGTTCGCCATGTTTCCGCTCCATACAGTAGACCTGTCTTGACATTTGTATTGAAAATCCTGATTTTGGTTTTGGTTGAAAGTTGTTTGGAGTTCCAGATATTTTTCAACTGTAGAAATGCAGCCCTTGCTTTGCCAATCCGTGCCCTCACATCTGCATTGGATCCACCTTGATTGTTGATGATGCTTGCAAGATATGTAAATGTGTTGTTGTTGTTGTTGCGTGTGCGATAGAAGAGCCAAGTCATTTGCGAAGTCCAGATCGTCCAGCTGCGTCCTAACTGTCCAGTTGATACCGAGCTTCCTTCCAGATGTTGACGTTTTCATAATCCAGTCGATGACCAGGAGAAAGAGAAAGGGTGAGAGTAAGCAACCTTGCCTGACACCGGTCTTCACCTCGAAAGAGTCTGTTTGCTGTCCTTCGTGTACGATTTTGCAGTTGAATCCATCATAAGATGTTTTTATGTTTAGAAACAGATAAAGTTTAGAGCAAAAGTTGATCTTGTTCTGACTATAGCTTTCACCTCAAGGAAGCTTATACTCTAATGTATAGTGATGCAGTGAACTTAGCCGCTCTTCTTACGGTTTGAATGAGAGCCGTGTCCTATTGAAGTGATATCTCATCAAGTTGGCTGCAAACCTCTCTCCTTAGTTTAACGTCGCCAGTAAAATATAACACAGACGATCTTTACTAGGGAAGTTCTTTTGTGTATATTAAAATGCGATTTTAAGTAGTCAACCCTGAGATCCAAAACTAGAAAATTCTGTAACTTGAGAAGAAGCAGAGTTAACCCTGTTTTTAAAAAGTCGGTTATTATTAAACGAAGTTAACCAGTCGATTTAGAGTGGCCTGATACCTAAAAGTCTGAGCTTATTGATGAGAAACGTATGACTGACTCCATCAAAGGCTTTCGCGAAGTCAAAATATATCTTGCTAATTCCGCATTAGTGACCAGAAGTGGGTGTTAATCTGTCCATCACAATGGGTAACAGGAGGTCGCGTAACCGATATACGTCGAAAATTCACAATTTTTGACATCGATGTTAACAACATGTTTAAGGGTGATGAATAGCGAGTAGGAATTAGTTAGGGAGTATTTTTCGTATAAAATCTGACAGTACTTATTTGCTGACTTGATTTATATCTCATTTATAAGTTTGCGGCTTCGATCGATTCAAGAGCATCAAAGATGGTTGAACACTTAATAGTTGGCAAACGATAAATGTATATAGCTAGCAGTATTTTTGATGTAAAGATATGATATCAGAGTACACACTCAAAAACTGACTTAAAAAAGGCAATGAAGTTTTCCACAACTTTGACATGACGATTCGGAAAATACCTGGTATCATATTATATGTGCGTAGCAACTCATGGCTTTTCTTTTCTACCACGCCTTACCTTGTGTACGGAATAATCAAGATTGCCACCAGAATACCCTCACTATTTAAATGCCAACGGTCATTGCCGATTAGTCGGACTTTGAGGGGGGAATTTTTCAGGAGAAGTAAGTAAATTGCGATAAGCGTGGTGAGTGCATGTGCTCAGTAAGGGCGTTTGCTGCCATCTAAGTTCGAAGGGACTGTTAATTAGTTAAAAACCTCAAAATCTCCGTATAACTAAATACGTGATTTAGTACTTTCTCAGCACACTATTCCATGTACTGACTCTGTACCGAGCTTCTCGGATGAAGTGTGCTTACGTTTAAACTTTATCATAAGCAACCTATAACTGGTCTCCTATATTAATATAATAACACAAACAAATTCTGCTGTCGGAATTTTCGTGACGATCTTTCAAGATTATTCAATTTCAGAACTCTTTACTCTTCGCTTAAATCTAAATCTAAATCCTTCTACAAATGCAGTATGCAAGACAAACCATTTTTCGTTTCTCAGAATGCACGGAGCATTCTTTATCAAATACAGGTCTCACATATAAGGATTCAGTGTATTTTAATCTGTCACTGAGACTTTCCAGTCAACTAACGACAAAAGACTAGTTTGGTGATCTGGGAACTGTTCATAATAATAATAATTATTAATTCTCGAAAAACATCTTACAAAAGGTATGCTAATTTAAAGGAAAGTTCAAAATGTTAAAATTGTCATCATATTTTCTGTAAAACGGCGTTCAGTCATGTTAATATTTCTTAAGATACATTCGCTTCATACAGATGGCCAACATTTTTCACATAAATTTAGTCATAATTTTTCAGATAATGCAATGTAGTATACGACAGTTGGCGCGAGTTACAACGAAACAAGAATGACTGAGAACAAATGCAAAGTTAATCCGGATCTGCATATAACAAGAATTGATAATAATATATTTATTTTCAAATAACTACGTTACAAGAGTCACGCCAGTTTACAGGCTAGAGCAAATTGTCACAAATGCTTTCACAATTACTGTAAAGTTATAGCAGTTAAATTAAGCATAAGAGTCAGTTTCTTATTGCATATTTACACCATGTCACTGACAGAAACAGTATAATACAGCCACATTTTCAATAGTAGAGTACAAATAAGGAAGGTGCACAATAGGTTCTTTTGGCGATTTGCCGCGATCAGTAGTGAATTTGCCGGGAAAGGTCAAATGGAACGCGCTTGATACGAGCTGTGGTCCCTAGAGTTGCCAAAGATTTGCCACTGTGAATGGGGTGCTGGAAAGGAGAAAAGAGAGAGAGAAAAAGGCAGTAGTGTGGCAAGTGTATATATATAACGAGAGCACTACTTAACTTGTCATGTTGAAGTAGTCAGTACAGTAGTAAGTCAAGATAAAATTCATAAAGAGGTAAATGTGCAGTGATCTTGTTGCTATTAGTCAGATAATAAATCAACAGGCTCCTGGGTAAAGTAACTAAGTCGTCGGCATCTATGCAGACTATTATTAAGTGATTGTCATAAGGTACTGGAAAAGAGAAATAAAGAGAATGGGATGAGGAGCAGAACAGAAAATGTTATTGGTTAACGCTGAGTCATAACTAAGGAGTTGATATTTTTGGATAGAAGAAAGATATGGTTACTCAGACCTTCTTCTGTATTAGAACACTGACTGTACATCTGCATTTGCGTAGGTGAATGAAGGCAAGTCATTAGTAAGGTGACGGATGGGCGAGATTCTTATGAATAGAGGAGACGAAAAAGAACTACACTGTCAAAAATTACGTTGATTTACATAGTATAATAAGGAAGACAAATTGATCTGATGATTTGGTGACATCTAATTTTCGGTTTTTTAGAGCCGTTGCTTGAGAAGTCACTAGTGAGCTGTTTTTCAATATG